ATTCTGTGACCCAGGGCCTCTCCAAACACCTGCGACCTCCGCAACGTGTTCTCAAGAATGTCGTGACGAAGCACACAGACGAGCCTCGATGAGTAAGTTTGCCTTATAAGTATGTGCTCCGAAATCAATCCCTGTATCCCAGGAACGTGGGCGCAAGCGAGTCACTGGGAAACCCCAGGAAGTCAAGCAAACTCAGAACCTTGTTTGCAAATTCAACATTTGAACCAGTATCCCGAAAATAAGACTCAAACCCTGACACCTCCAGCGCCGGATATGACACCCCCAACTCGATCATTCGAGGTTCTACACGCCGGAGTTTGCAGCGGCTATCCTGGACAGTTGGCAGGAGGCATGCAACGTAAATGACACCTGGTCCGGAGTCCTTAATTATGTCAATCGACATCACATTCAGGGTCAATGCCTCCTGTTTCCGTATTTGTCTCGCTTGATTATACTCAGTCTATGTGGGGTTGGGTCTATATACTCTACTTGTGGTTTGGGTCTTTGGAACACGGAGCGGGCTTCTTGTCTGTTTCCCAACTGGTGGTTCCGATTTTGGATGGAATGCTCTGAAGCGAGCATGATGCAACTGTTGCATGACACTGTAACATGATGCTAGAGGTTGCGGAATTGGTATGTGGAGAAGAAGGGATTGTATTATTTAGCCGACACTGGTTTTAATGCTTCCGGTTTCCCTCTCCTAGCAGGGTGCTGTTCAGGCCTCGGGAACACCAGATCAACACTAAAAATATTTAGCCGACACTGGTTTTAATGCTTCCGGTTTCCCTCTCCTAGCAGGGTGCTGTTCAGGCCTCGGGAACACCAGATCAACACTAAAAATATTAGGATTTGCTGGTCAGCTTCTAATGTAACACAGCCTATAGTGCACTCGTGCTAGAGTAATACTGTCGAATTAGCCTGCTGAATCGTTGTCGCTGTCGGGTATCAATAAACCCTAGCTTATGAAACACGTTTAGATTAACCCCTTTACAACTATTACAAAAGCTGTCTGACTATTCTTGAGATACACTACTTCTATACTATTAGAGTCTCTGCTGAAACTGCTACAGTACATACGACTACTAGTTTTGTGCTACATCTGCTGCTGCTACTACTACTACTACTACTACTACGACAACAACAACTACTACTACTACTACTACTACTACGACAACAACAACTACTACTACTACTACGTACTACTACTGCTGCTACTACTACTACTACTACTACTACTATAATACTTCGTACTATCGCCACGGCATCACTGCTATTAGTACTACTACGTATACGACGACGACTGCGACAACAACTGCTATATTGCTACAACTACAACACTAAATATGCTACTGCTACTACTATATAGCTACTGGCTACTGGCTAGTAGGTACTATAATAGCTACTAGCTACTAGCTACTAGCTAGTAGCTACTGCTGCTGCTGCTGCTGCTGCTACTACTAACTACAATCATTAATACTACCGCAACCACTGTTATGGTGCTACCAGGAGTACGATGGTCCTATTGCCTAGGTGGCCACAGGTCACAGGATGACGCGTCTGATGCTGCGGCTAACCCAATGGCTCAGCTCATGTCGCAAGTGCATGGTGATCGGGATCTGGGATTATGAACTTCACGACACGACATCTGAGTTCTAGTCATCCGCATTGAGGTGTTGTTTTTTTTTCTGAAAAGCACTATAGCTTCAGGGTGCGCGGTTTCTGGATCAAGCTAGGTAGGTGGGCGCGGTTTCTGGATCAAGCTATATATATATATATAGGTAGGTGGCATAGCTAGCTAGTGGCGGCACGACTATACGCTACCGAGCACTCTTACTCTGCTTGCTCGCGATCGGATGATTAGATAGCATTCGGGCGCACATGTCACTTGCGCACGGAGAAATTAACACATGTGCCTAATTGTGACCCCAAACCCTACGAAATAGTGATATGACCCCTTATATAATATTAGACGGTAGAACCCTTAAAACGGTAGGTTTTTGGATCCCAAGGTAATTAATACAACCTCAAACACCAAGCCCTAGTTTGTAAGCCCGATGCTAGTGGCGGAGCCTGGGAAAAGTGCTTGGGTTTGGCAGGTTGGGGTCAAGCTTCGAAATAAGGAGCGTTGCTCAGCGATTATGTAAACCTATTTTGGATGCCCGCAATGGTGGTCTCATGGTGGTCTCATGGCACGTCGTAGTCGTAGTAACACGCCATGTTAGTAGTACCCGTCAACTACAGTTCTTACAGGAACATGTCTGGTGTAATTAATCCGAAGTACAAGAACATGTTGCTCCATTACAAAAAATGAGTCGACACCGTACACGTATAGGGCGCATGTCATGTTATGCGGCCTGTATACAAGCTTCGGCTACACAATATTATGTGTGTTTTCTATCCATCAGTAGTGCATAAAGAGTATGCGACCCTATTATTTAGAATCAAACCCGAATCGATCCCAGGACTCGTGCGATGGGTGCAATGACGTGGCACCGGAGCTCTTCGTCGCGAAGGCAGGGTACGACGAAGCGGCCCAGATCAAGATGCTCTTCGCCGAGCCGATTGATTGGAGCGCCGATGTGACTCACCTAAGCTGGATGCTACGGGTTGTCTACCGATATCTGAGCCCTTTAATTTCTTGTTCGGGATCAGTATTATGTCCATAGCTACATTCTAGATATTTCCCTGTACCTATAACTACATATCAACATCTATCTACATCTAGATCTATAATTATAAATTTATCTAACCCGACATCTATCTAATATATATATATAATATGTTATGTATCGAAAGAGTTGGTTTTGCTTGTAGTCGGTTACTGAAATTTGGTTAGTGTATGTGTGTATATATATATATGTATGTATGTATGCCTGTGTATATATACGTACATGTATATGTATATGTGTGGTTTTATATCATAACAGGTGTGTTTGCACGTATCCGTATCGATAACTACATATCCAGATGCACAGATGTTATGTCTATCTATATATATATATGTATATATATGTATATATGTATATATATATATACATATACATATATGGCTTTATATATGTATATATATATACATATGGCTTTATATATGTAAGATTAGATTATTTGTAGTTGGAGATATATCGGATCTATATATTATATAGATCCGATATATCTCCAAGTACAAATAATCTAATCTAATCTGTTGCGGGTTCAAATTCTGCTGTTTCTGGACCTCACTTATCCCAAGTACAAAAAATCTAGCCAAGTCTGTTGCGAGTACAAATTCTGCACCCCCAAGTACAAAAATCTAGTCTAGTCTGTTGCAAGTACAAATTCTGTTGTTGCTAGACCTGAGTCCCCAAGTACAAAAATCTAATCTAGCCTGTACATTGCGAGCACATATCCTGGTACTGATCCTATTACATTATTAATATAATATATCGATCTAGACCAGAATTCCTATATATATACCCAAGTACAAAAATCTAGTCTAGTCTGTTGCGAGTACAAATTCTGTTGCTGATAAAAATCTACTCTAGTCTGTTGCGAGTACAGATTCCTGACTATAGTCTAGATCCTATCAAGTACGACAAACCCGAGCTCGTACAACGAATAATCTTATAATAAGCTATTGCAATGATCTCGGTTACCCGAACCTGCTTGGCCCGACTGCTTCGTGCAAGCTAGATATAGGCCACTAGCTGTATACATCTCGGGGGGATCGCCGCATGCAGCTTATGCCAAGGACGGTCTATATGATGTCGCTGCCTGGATGATCAAAAGCGACCAGATGATGCTGCCGTCGCATTGGCCGAGCCCGTTTATGTAGAGCTTGGCTTGCTAGTTGAAGCTTTAAAACACGTGAACCAACTACACAACCCTGCAGATTCTCTAGACACCGGCAACAAAACCCCAACAGATTGTCACCAAGTGCAAAAAAGCCAAATGTTAGGTTTTCGAAGCTAAACCGAGCGCACCGTCAAAATGCGTCAAAATGCGTCAAAAAGCGTCAAAAAGCGTCAAAAAGTACAAATTTCTAGTCTTCTGCAATTCAGCATACGAAACCAGCTTGTCATGTGCATTTCAGTACAGACATCATGCCGATTGCTTTCTGACTGTGCCTCTGCTCTGCAGAAAGCTTATAGTGGCTCAGACTATTAAGCTTCGTTTTGCCAGCCTATAGACCTATGGGCAAGAAAGCTGGCGCGCCGCCGGCTAAAGAGGTGTCTAGTGCTGCACCTAGGCTCAATTTGATAGGGGAACCCTTTGTGAACACCCCAAAATTCTTAGAAGTTATATCATAAAAAAACCCAGGATGCCGCATCCATCGATGCGGGCGTCAGCTTGGCGGCACTAGGCCTCAGTCCCGAACAACAGCTTCTGGTGAAGCAACGAGTGTGCCTTGATCTTATGCTAAGTTCTGCCAGGATCTGTAGTGAATCTATGTTGCTAGGGATATGCTACCTGTGAATCGGAGTTTGCTCGTGATTTCTGATGCATGCCTTACCTAAGGGTTCGGGGCTTGATCGACATAACACCGCCGAAACCTCAACATATAAATACTTGTGTGGGGATGCTATATATAGATATAAATCTAGATATAGACCCACATCATACATACATACATACATAC